GCTTTGGGTAAGCCAAGGGGTAGATGTAATGTTGTATCCATGAATGAATTAAAGAGTTTGGGTTAGAGTTGGATATTGAATGCAAAGAAATTATCCACAAAGCACATTTTGTTAGAACACCGTTCACATATTTTTCGAGTTAACCATTTGGAGCATGAATCGCTATTTGAAAATATAGATAGAGAGTCTGAAACGAAACCTACATGGAATCTCAAATGATTATGGTAACCCGACCTTATGACATCATCCATATTTGATTAGTTGTCGTAATCACGTCTTAACCGAGCACGGTTTGACGTACGTACAGGTATCCCATCTGGATCCTGCTCCAAAATATACTTCTGAGCGTTCCAAAATTAGGTATCAAGGTATTTTAAACACTAAGGAGCGTTAAGTAAATGCATGTTGTATTTATAAATGTCTTACTGTAGACACCTGACAGTTTCTTCCTCAAAATAGATAACTTGTGTTGGTATGAAGTCAAACAAAATGGCAAGAACAACAAAGTTGTAAAAAGACCTGATACAAGATTATGATTAGATATAGGGAAAGGAAGGTCAAAGATTTGATGGAAAGGTATGGTGAAGAAAGAAAGCAGTATAGTTGGTCTAAATAAGAAGGTTGCTCAAGACAAGAAGAAGTGGAGGGAGGGAGTGTCACCACGTACTTTTCTCCTTTTTGAGGTGTCAGTTATTAATCTATGAAATGATAACCATTTGTATATTTTACATGTTTATACTCCTTTATATAACATGTTAGTGTACAATTATACAACTATAGATAAAAAGAATACTGTCAGAATCTTGTTATAGGTGGATCCATGATTCTTTGCTGGGAGGGAGGGGAATATGGGGGGGGGGGGCAAAATTAATGTACAGTACTGTGTATTTATTTTATTTGTCTAGGTGGATGCATCAGTGTATACCATAGTAAAGCAATATGGGGAGCAAGGGGGTCTCTACCACTGCTCATATTGACTGAAATACCAAAAAACATTAATTCATTTGCATAAAGTTTATTTTCAAGAGAGATATGACAGGATGATTTGGATATATGGCTAATACTGTACGAAATATTACTATTATCTGTAATGATGGATGAATTATCCAAATAACAGAAACACAAACTTAAACAAATTTATTTAATAAAATAAAATAAAAATAAAATCAGATCTGCCAAAATGATTTATGTATTAACCATTCAAAGATCATTTTCTTGTTGAATGAATAAAAAAGAAATTTGAAAAGTTTATAACATTTGATGGTAACAGGTTGAAGAGAATCTAAGGAGTGAAACATACCTCTCTCTCTTCAAGCCTGAACCACTTCAAAGTAACAAAAGCTAAAACAGAACAATAGACTAGGTGTGAGACTATCCTGGAACCAAGCCAATCTTCCCTTTTGACATCTTCACTTTACGCCCCTCTCATTTTCTACTATTGATTTAATTGATCTTTTCCCCCTTTTGAATCAATAATGACTAATTGTTCAATCCAAATCTAATGTGATGGTGACAGTTCTTCAATGATGGATGGATGATTAGAGCTTTTAATCAGATTCTGTTATTGCATATGTGCTTTATCATACTCTACCTTTCCCCTCCCTCTCTCTCACTCTCCATCTATGTCTCCCTCTTTCTCTCACTCTCTCTCACTCTCTCTCTCTTTCTCTCTCTCTATCTATCTATTTGAGAATCTGCCTGTCTGTCTTTGGCTCTGTCTTTCTCTCTGTCTCTCTCTCTCTCTCTGTCTATCTGTCTGTCTGTCTCTCTCTCTGTGTGTCTATCTGTCTGTCTGTCTCTCTCTCTCTCTCTTTCTCTCTCTCTCTCTATCTATCTATTTGAGAATCTGCCTGTCTGTCTTTGGCTCTGTCTTTGGCTCTGTCTGTCTGTCTGTCTCTCTGTCTCTCTCTCTGTCTATCTGTCTGTCTGTCTCTCTCTCTCTGTCTATCTGTCTGTCTGTCTCTCTCTCTCTCTCATCCCACCAATTTTCACTTTAATGGGATAAACAAAACTTATAATATTCATGTTATAGTCTCTTTGCTTCCAGCCTCCCCCATCCTCTCACTGTCTCTCTCTCTCTCTCTCTCTCCCTCTGTCTGTCTGTTTCTTTTTCTCTCTTTGTCCCTCTTTTCCTCTCATGCAAACTTAACTGTGCATTTCTCTCCTAATGTCAGTTGAGAGCCACTCACAAAGTTAACTCTGTGTAAAACTAGTATATGAGTATTACAATCCATCTCTAAACATAGGCATCATTAATTCTTCTAATGTAACCAATTCACCATGACTTCCACGGTTCCAACCTTTATTAATAATTCATTATCTATTTGATCTGAAATGATACATTCTAGTCTGCTTTTGATTTCCTTTTGAATTCCTCCCAGTAGCTGCATTTAAAGGTAAAGACCAGTATTGGAAACGCCCCAATTTCAAAAAATGAAATGGAAGCTCTCATTACCAATCATGTGAAAGAATGTGTTTTGACTAATACATGATGATACAAAATTTGCCGGGAATCTGCCTACTAATTCATATATTTGGTAAATTTGTTTCTCTCATGGTCTGTGAGAGATATAGGGTAGTCCCATATACATCTTTCTGTGTATAGTGCTTGTAACTTTACGAATAATGGGCCAAATTTCTTATCATTTTGATGATTCCAGAACCTTGCAGATGCTAAATGCTAGATGATCAACCTTTTCTGATCGATTCCACAACGTTTCTTTCACAATGCAATCGCATGACCATAACTGGTCTTTACCTTTAACACTGCTAGAAAAAATTACAACTTTCACATATGCATAACTTTCTCATTTTTTTACGATTCCATTCAAACTTTGACCAGTCCACATCTCTAACAGATCTGCTTTCATCTAGAGTAGTTTGCTATAAAGGTGGGATTTCCCTTTAAAGTGTCTCCATTCATGTGGTTCCCGTCCCACAATGTAACTTTTTCTAGGCTACTGAATGGAACCAATTTGCATGCCTATGTTGCATACTCCCACAATAAAGAATGGGTCTTTCTAGCTGAGTAAATAAACAGATATTAACAGACTTTAATCTGTTTTTGATAGATCACATAGATCTGAAAGGAACCTTTTAAAATAGCCCAATCTATTCATTGATTTTCTGTTCTACCTATTATGAAAAGAAAGATATTCACTTTGTCAAGTAGGACTTGAGATCTGACAGACAATAAGAATGTTTTAAGCTGGGGGCAGAAAGGGGCTCTATGGTTCTACACACTCTCAAAACCACTATACTTGCAATACCTCCGGAACTTTGGGCTATGTAATCTGATATATTAACAGATAGTGACAAAAATATAACAAGAAGAATTTAAGAGTTCAAAATATTAATTTGTGGTAAGTCAGCTTTATGTAAAGAAAGACAGTCATATCATGCATATTTGAATGATCTGTAATTTCCACAAACAATAAGAAAATTGTATAAATAACAAACTGAAATGAAATGTAGATTGGTAGATTGCAGAACATAAGGATCATGTTTTTGTGATTACACCATGTTACACCTACCCACTATTATTCCATATCATTTGCTGACTGATGCTATGAATTACATGTAGGTTTAGGGTAGCCCTATCCACAAAGTAACCTAAAGCTAACCTTACCCTAACCAGACCCTAATTTAACCCTTTAAACTCACGATATGGAAAAGTATGTTAGCACAAGACTAATGGGGTGCCAAATGTTGCTATTCTTGACTAAAACAGTGTTATCACAATGTCTACAAACTTAGCCTTACTCAGTCTCAGGTAGCATTCAGAATTACCAAAATCAATTGTCTACTTTTCCTTTTTTCACTTTCCCTTTTTTCACTTTCCTACTTTCCACCACAAATCTATGGAACTTTCACTGATGGGATTTGAGATAGAGACGAAGCTTCAATAAAGTCACTCAACTTAATTCCATCTCTATCATTAACAAGAATCTGCATGCATACTTTTTTGTTATGGTGGAATAAACCTTTGGCAAACTTGTAGAGCGGTATCGACAAGCGTGGTGAGATAATCTCTACATAACATTGTGCAAGAATTAAAAGAAAGAGAGTCTATTTCAAGTGGATACAGAGTAAGCTCTACATAGAAAGTCAAGATGTATTACTAATTAATAACAATATCATTCTTTTAAGATGGCCAATGAAACACCTTTACTAATTGAAGAAAATCATCAATATTATTCATAAAATGACATTTATATCATAAAATCAAAATGAAATGGAAGGAAGGTCAGGGTGGAAATGCAAGCCAACCAAGATGCACAGGTATAGTTCAAAGACAAAAATAAAGGAACAATCAAAATGCTCAAGGATACCTTGGAATTAAGTGTGGTCTTAAAATATTAAGATTGCATCATCAAGGCATTGATTTTTTTAAAAAGGTGGAATAGCAAGTAAGGACTAATACAAGTCAAAATGCAAGTAAACTTCAAAAATGTTCTTGATAAAAATTATCAAAAGCAATTTATAGCACAAGTCTAGGTAAAATTGGGTATTTGCTGGAGGGGGAGGGGGAAGGGGATGAGGGGGGGGGGGGCAAGGGTACACTTTAGGAGGTGGATTTTCTAGATCAAAATAGGTCACAATGCACAGGTTGATGGTTAAGAAGTTTTTAAGGATTTGTTTAAATTTTAAGTCTACAAGGATGCTCACAAAATTATATTCTTAGATCACTAGAAGTGGGTCCCAATGTGCCGCACCCTTAGTCCCAGTTCTAGTCCCTCAATTACAATTTCCAGCATTTTAAGTTTTAACTTGTAGTTGATGTGCATTGTACAATTAGACCTATATTCAATGTTTTGCTTACAAGCAATGTTTCCTTAGTGACATCTTCGATAAGAAATCATTGTTTTAACAAAACTCAATGAATTGGCAACTCCATGCCGCAAACCTCAAGCACAGACTTTCAAGGGGCAGCAACTCTTATCCTTCTAGCGATTGCATGTTTTCATTAGGATGTCGGGGGGGGGGGGGGGGGTTGCAAGAAGCATTACGGGTTAGGCGAGGCCAGAGAAGAAATAAATAATTCCAAAGAAAATATCAGGATGCAGAGGAATTATAAAAGGGTTTCTTTTTTTCTTCTCTTCTTTCTTTTTAAAATGGGGGTAACTTACCCAATCCTTCGTTTCCGCTTCCATTCCTATTTGCGGCATGTGTACCTTAGAGTGGCGGAGGGGGGAAAGCAACAAGTCACATTCAGAAAACAAAAATGGATAGGGTAAAAAAATGCTTGGTTAACATGATATGTCATCGAAGCATGCACTAATAATTTTGAAACGCAACCCCCCCCCCCCCTCCCCTCCCCATCAAAGGAAAAACCAAACAAGCATATCATCTTTTAAGAGCTAGAAGGGCATTAATCTGTTTTGAAGTATACAAGGTAAAGCTGTTCTGGCTCCAAACAGACAAAACAAATTGTGAAACTTTATTTTGCATTCTATCAAAGAAAATAGCTGACAGGGTGGCTTGTGTTACCATTTCCTTTTGCGTATCATTTATCTTTATCTACTTTTGAAAAGGAAATTCTTGTTTTACTGTCAGTATTGATTTTTAACCCCAACAAAATGTCCCTGATATTTCTGAAAACTATACTTGATGTCCGACATCCTGTTCATGAATGAACAATGCATAACCTGACACTCTTAATCAAATCAAATCTGATGGGAAAATGGGACATCATGCAAAATAATAGTTTCAAACATCAACAATGTTCACTGCCCATTTTCAATTAGAAAAAGCCCAAAATGTCATTTTCACTTTTTGAATGAGACAAACTTTAACATGTATGAAAATATCACTTGCATAATAACACAAAATTATATCAGCACAGCCAAAATAAAAATAATAATCACATCACAATGACATTTCAAAAGTAAAACAGGCTCATATATTCATAAAGGGTAAAATTCATCAACTATGAGGCATGCATTCAATTCATGGCATTTGATAAGAATTGATCTTCCTCAAGATATTTTTTTTTGATGATAAAATTTCAGCTTATAAATTGGAATTGATGGCCTCTCATCAAAATAATTGTCTCTACTGGCGAGAAAATGGACATCAGTTTCAATATCTCTTTGGTTATACTTATAAGTTAGTTGACAGTTACTTAAGAGCACCATGTAGTACCAAAAAATGGTTTAATATTGTGATAGTTAAAACAAGGAAATCTTAAAATTACATTTATTAGATCTAAATGATGTTATGCCAGTTAACTCATTGACATTTTTTTTAATGTACTATTTTGAGACTTTAAAGAGAATATATTCCTCCATGCACCTATCTACATGTATATATAGTCTTTACTGGATTGAAATTAAAAAAAAACAGATTTGTCTTTTGAAATAGTCTCCTGAACATTTCCAGCTTTAGAATTGCTGTTAATTGCATCATTCTCAAAGACTTCATTGAACCTTTTACCCATCAGTTCAAAAGGCCTTCCTTGTTACTGTTTAAAATTTGATTTGTAATGAGATGCAATTATAAACAAAAACCTTCCTTGTCTATCTGTATAACTTTAATCAAGATCTTTTCCACCATCATCGTCATCATCTACACTGAAGTTATCATCATCATCACCACCACCATCATTGTCATCATCATCATCACCATCATCACCATTATCATCCTCATCATCATCATCACCACCACCAATATCATCATCATCACCACCACTGTCATCATTATCATCATCATCATCATCATCATCATCATCATCATCATCATCATCATCATCATCATCATCATCATCATCATCACAACCATAGCAACTACACATCAATTGTTTCCTTCCAAATCTGGACAACTACATTTACCACAATAAATCAATGTATCTACCTATTATTTGCTAGTTTATCCAAACTACGCCACCATCTGGAGCAATAGGCAATTTAGAGGGGGTATATCCCCCCCCCCCCCCCCTCCTCCCTCCTCTCCCAGCACCCAAGAACATCCCAGTTGGCATGCCCTAAGTACCATTTTTTTTTTTTTAAATCAGATCTTCTCATAGCCAAAACATGGTCTCATCTGTTCACAGCCAGTATTAATATACAAAATATCTCCCTTCTAGCTCCAGAGAGAGTCTATGTATACCTACTGTTGTAAGGATTGTATAAGGGTTTGCTTCCTACAGCCTTGAATGTGATAAAGGGTGACATATAAAGACTGCTTTTAGGGGCAAATCTTTTGTAATTATAATAAAGTAGGGAAAATAATTGTGACACCATGAATAGTCTGAAGATCAGATTAAGTCCCAGGACAGCCTGAAATAAAGATCTATGTCATTTCATTCTCCCTTGAGAAGTTACCTCTCTCTCTGTCTCTCTCTGTCTCTCTCTTCTTTCCCTGTTAAAGGTAATCTTTGAGGTCTGGTGATATTGACAAATAAATCTCATAGAACAGATCAGAGCTACAAAAAAATATATAATGATAGTCACGTAGCCCGTTCTTAATACTATGTTTCTAAGCTCTTTACATTATAATTAGTATTACCCTGGCCATTGGATTCTGTTACTACCTTAGTAATTATCCACATATGAAAGTGCACACACTCCACTCGATTGGGAGTATACGAGCCAGGCGCCATTTTACAAGCGCACACATGTTGATCCACCCATGCCCCCAACACTAAGAAAATCAACTAGATACAAATCATACTGTTTCTGGTTTAATTTGTCTAGCCCCCCCCCCCCCCCCCCCCCCCCCCCCCATAGTGCCATATTATGACATTAATTATTCATCTATTTATTATCTGGCAAACAATGTAGCAAAAGACTAAAAAAGCCATTGAGAGCTATTAAAATGAAACAAGAAAGTCAGGAAAATTCTTATGCTCCAACACCCCTCAGTCTGAGAGAGCTGGCAGGATTCCTAAAGTCATGTTGTACCTAGGTTCCTTACCACCCCCTCCCCTTTCTATGATTCATATACTGTAAACGCTGTTATTTTTGCGCAATTAATTTTTCGCACTGAGCGACCCCAAAACATATTAGCTGGTTCTTACATTCGCGTTGCACACATTTCAGCCCGTTCAAAACACCCATAAAAAGTCGTGCTTTTATTTTTACGAGTTCTAAAATTCGCGCTTACTGATCTTAGCCCGAAATCAGCGAAAAATGAAGGTACCGAAAATATTTCTACTTTTACAGTAACGCAAGCTTCATAATCCAACGACCTACTGCAACCTGCCCACCCTCAAGATGTTCCAAGGCAAGTACAGCGAAGGCACTGCTGTTGCTTGTTTCAAGGTAGAGTTCATTTTCACTGCGGATCACTAAAACTGAGTTGAAATGAGCCTTGATTAGGTCAACTTATTCAATAAAAAAGAAGAATATATTAGTCTACCTGGTCCAGACTCTGGACAACAGTTTTGTCATACCCATAGGAGTGACAATACAGTTACATTAAAATTGGGAAAATCATTGCACACCTTGAAGAAGGCTAGGGTTACAGAGCTAAACTTGACTTGGAACATTGCAAAAGTGGGCGGGTCTCATAAGCATCATCTGTACTAGAAAGTGTTTGTCAGACTTCTCTAAATACCCATGGACTTATAGGTACTTACAGCGCATAGCATCAAGTGCGGTGATAGGTAAACAATAACATTGTGACTATATATATAGTTAGAAGTATTCAGTTGAAGTAGCCTGGTATTCCAATGAATTGATTTCAATCATATCCACCTTAAAGGTAATACAAAGTTTTGGGAAATTTTGAAAATTGGGTGGATAGTGAATCTTTACAATTTTGATATATTTTGATGCCCCTGTGGATGTCTTATAAGCACTAACAAAATTAACCCCTAAAACACTTCTGTTTTCAAGAAAAATTGAATATAACAATTTACCGGTGCTCCCTGTAAATTTTGATAAATTTCAAATAGCGCCTATGGCCGTACAATGGTAGCTGCGACCATGAAAATCTCAGAATATGTAGTTGTGATATATAATTTCCAAACGGGAATAGCTGATCGGTCGATTTTAGTCAAGAAACATTGTTTCATAGCTAAATTGATATCTTGGCCTTGAGAGGGAGCTATACAACATAAAGAGTTTATTATTTATAATTTCATAACTTTAGACTCGATTTCAACAGGGACAACGATCAATGAATATTGTAGGAACGCATATGCTTCCAATATGTTAATTTGAACCAAATTCATGACCCCATACCAAAACTTTGTAATACCTTTAATCTGTCATTTTTATGAGGATCCTTTCAATATATTTCTATAAAGAAATAATTAATAATATTCATGAGCTTTCATTTAACTCAAACAAAGTGTTAGTATGTAACCATCCTACTTATACATCCTAGACTCAGCTATAATATGCATCAAGCACCATTAGCCATTACTTTTACATATATAAAAAAACATACTACAAAAAGTACAAGCCTTCCTTAGCTTTCATTTCATTTTCATGTGTGGGTCTATTTCTAGGGGTGTGTTCATGTCTACCTACCTTTGACGACTCGTCTACCATAAGAATGGAACAGCGTTCACACCGTAGTAGTGATAGAAGAAGCTCCATGATGCGTCTCACGATGCTGGAGAGCGTACTCTGCTCTTCAAACAGCGTCTTGGCTAGCTCCAGTAGAACCTGTGAAAGAATAAATGATTGAAATGAATCACAAATTTCTTTGTATAAATGTGATTCTTCTCGCTATTGTTATCATTTATTCAGAAAAGAAAAAATCAAGAAAACAGTGAATACAAAACAACAGTACGAAAATGAAATTAAAATTTTTGTGATATCTGTTTGTTTTTTAAGAGAAGAATACAACAAAATATTTTAGAAGAAAAAAAATTGCCAGAAGAGTAGAGGCAAGGGATGTATGTATCCTGCTTCTCAAACAGGGTCTTTGCTAGGTCTAATAGGACCTGGTGAGACAGTGAGGGAGAAAAATTATTGTAAGTAATTAGACGTTTCTTTTTACACCTGTCACTACTACTTAAGTGATATTGCATTTATTTCAAAGTGTAAGTGTAAAAGTTAAAGTGTGCAAAAATTATTAGTACTGGTAACATGTTGGCAAGGACAAGGTCATTCATACAAGCAAACAGCGTGCTCAAGTCCTCAAACAAAATAGAACCTGGTATGAGACTGAGTGATAGAAAATAAATTGAAATGGAATGAGAACATTTTCTATATTCCTGTAATGATTACTCTCATGCTATTTGATATGGGACCACTGTTTTATAAAACGGGGCCCTGAACTTTTACCAGAAAACTAACACCTCAGTCACTCTACAATGTTTCCAAAGCGACTCTAAACTGACCAATTTTGGGCCATTGGGGATAAAGTGATTTTTTGTTTGATCTGTAGTCGGTCTGGTGTCGGTCTGGTTCGGTCGGGTGTCTGTCTGGTGTCGGTTGGGTGTCGGCCTTTTGGTCTGAGGTATTACAGTACACAGGGTATAATTCACAAAAAGGAAATTGGTTGAGCTGAGCCTATATCATTTTTTACCAAGCCTCATCCTGGGCAATAATGCTACACTAATAATCTCCCCACATAATGAGTCATTGTATAAACCTTAGGGGCACAACTTCATATCAATTTTCTCCAAACGCACAACTACCCCCCCCCCCCCCTTTCGACAAATCCTCATTCAAAGAGCTAGCTCCTAGGTCTGCATAGTGCACAACTATTGATCAGGAAATTGATTAGATGCTCTACGTCTCAAAGCTCCTAGCTATGTTCAATAGACGTCTATAGAACAGAAAGAAATTAATGCCTTCCTCGATGTACGTAATGAAAAACTCATTTGAACGTCAGAGTGAGAATGCCAGCGATACAAGCAGAATAGGGTATCATGATTGTTCTTTGCACCCAAGCTCTCTCCATCTATAGATTTTTTCTTCTCAATTATTAGTGTGAGAAGGCCAGGGATTTGTTGAGGTTATTTGGAAATGTTACACTTCATATTGTCTGTTTGGAGCCAGAAGGGCATTAACTTGTATACAAACACAGAGTTAACACCCTTCTGGCTATGAAGAGATGATATGGGATCAATGATATGATACTCGATGCTGATGTGGGTTAAGAAAGTAGTAGTGGACTGAATCGAATATCTTGTTTAGAACCAGGCTAACCTGTCATCATGTTCATTGATCAAAAAGAGAACAACACATTATCAGATATATGTACTAAAATAAATGCAAGAATATAAGAAAAGCAGACAGTTTTGTTCAGTATTAACATAATGAGAAAATTTTGAATTTCATAAATGTACATTTCAAGTAAAATTTTAAGGGAATCTCAGTATGAAAGTATGATATAAGCAGCTGGGAAACTAAACGTGTAAGATTTAGCATTTTGTTTGTGCCTAACTTGAGACAACAAATTACTAGAACCTTCATCAATATAAAATCAGATTGTACAGTGGGCTTAAGTGAAACTTTATTTCTACCACTTCTACACTTGAAAATGATATGGTATCCTAGCAAATGTTTCTTAAAAACAGAATTATAATGTAAGTACCTGATTTCTCCTAATTTCTAATGTTGCCCTCTCGTAAAGCCTGGCATTGTTGATACCGATTCCACAGAACTGGAGATACTGGGCAAATACCTGGAGATGGAAAGAAAAGGAAAGAAATATAAATTAATCTTATTTGAATAACTAAAAACTACCTTAAAGAGTAATCACAAGTTTACAAAAATCCCACCAATATTTGTTTACTATCAATGGTCTTTTAGAAAACTTTTGTTTTGGTAAATAGCATCAGAAATTCCATTTTTAGAAATTGAAATTTTTTGTATTCTACTATTCATCATAGACATTTTAAGATGATTTACAAAATCATTAATGAATTAAAGTGTTTCACTTGGCACACTATAAGCAAATAATATTTGTGACAAGCCTAAGCTTCCATCCACACATATCTTGCTTCAGGTTCTAAATATGGAGAAGACTTCTCAAACAAGATTGTCTTCAGAATACCTTTGTAATGATGAAGTAGTTGGATTAGCATGTACGTGCAGGCCTGTAAAAAAGGCCACTGGAATGTTCCCCAGGGAATGGAGAATGGGCACTAGAGTAATGAACACAATAGTACTTGACTCCATTGACCGGGGTTAATGGTAAAGCGCTATATATGGAACCACTACCATTATTGTTGTTGTTGGTGCTGTTGTTATTATTGTCTTATTGTTATCATTATCATTACCATTTTTATTATTATTATTATTACTATTATCATTATTATCATTATCATTATTATCATTTTAATTATCAATATTTTTATTTTTATTTTTATTATTATAAACATTATTATTATGATGATGAAATGCAAGATTTGGGGGCCTGCAGAGGGAGAAAGTACCTTTTAATAAAGAACAACCTTAGCTCAGTGTGTGTGTGAATGAGAACAAGAAAGTTCACACTAAGAAAGTACAACATTAAATCATCACACAGAAAGTACACCGTTAAATTATTGCCACACATTTTTTCAGGATCATACTGTTAAACAAATGTTTTGGGGATGGGATCGTTTGCATTTGTGAGATTAATTCAATAACGTAAACATTGGGAGCGAATGTTTAGATTGATTCATTTTATGTGTGATTTACTTGACAAGGTAGGCATCTGTTTTGGATAAAACTAAAATGCTTCTAGTTGCAGAATGTGCAAGGGCATCACAGAGAAGATTTCCATTCATTGTGAAAATGAATCTAAATGTTCTCATGTTCACATGTATTTGTGTAATCTGCATAGAGCTAGAAGGGCATTAACAATGTATGAAAGTATATGAGTTAATGCCTTCTTACTCTGAACAGTGGATGTGGTTTGATGCAAGAGATTTAAAGATTGATGTGAAAGTGTAAACAAGATTTGGACGATAGCGAGGTCAACCGTGTTAGTCATGAATTAACAGAGCCATACAGGCATTTGAATTATGGCACTTATTTGTCAAATTGTATAACAAAGCTGACCAATTAGATATGACAAATGTGACAGATTATTGGGTGACTTAATGAATCATAGTCCATTTGTTAGAAAGCAAGGATTATTAAGATATAGTTGCCTTTTAAAGGCTTGTTCAGATATGGCGCAGTAAACCGCTGCAAAAAAGCCGCCTCTTTTTTACCTGTAAATAAATGGCAACTGAGCACAACAAAGGACTTGCTCATATTCAAGTAATGTAAATGTTCAAAAGAATTTTGAATTGTGATAAAGTTGAAAAATAATTTAACTCCTTATATTCCAATGTGAAATATAAGGATTTCCCCTGAAATGCCTGTATATTCCACATAGGGCAGAGATATTGTTTTAAAATAAATCTGGACCAACTTTGATGCCACATGTGTGTGTATGTACTGTGTAGTCCCATATCACATATATCTGTGTGTAGGGGTTTTCATGGTATGTTATGTTTCAGATTCTGTCAATATGTTATATCTGTAAAATTCATTCAATCGAATGATTCACAATTCTTTGTATGTACATCATTATGAACCTTTCGAGACAATTTTTTCTTCAGTATGCAATTGCATTACCAGTACTCCAACGACGAACATATCTTTAAACTTGCTGCCAACATGTTTCCGTGTGAAAGCAAACTCAAAGTGATGAAGGGCAAACCCGCTGACATTCAAAAGCCATTCACAACTTGCAACAAAGGTCACTCCATTCAAAGGAGAAGAAACAAAAGGAAGAGGAGATGGAAAAGAGAAAGACAAGTTGGAGGAGAAGACTATATGGATGAGACACACTAGTTCACTTCTTAGTCATCAATTATTTAGTGAAAATCTTTATCGCTGCTCTTTGCATGTGTGCCCCCACAGACTCTTCTAAATGTCACCAGTTTTCTAGCAGAAGTTACACATTTTTATGACGGAGCCTCATAAATTTCAAAGGACAACAGAATTTTAAAGAAGAAAGAGGGGGCCGAGAGGAGGGCATGTTTGCAGGTCGGGATTGCATGAAAGCAAGCAAATATTAGAAAGCAAATATTTAAAAATGATGATGACTTCTGTATTAACAAAAGGACATTTTTTGCAGAAAAAGAATATTTTCTCACACAATCTACCCCTCCTACCTGTATTTACCACTGAATGAGAATATGCATAATTTAAAACATACCCTTTTTTAATTTTCAAAAAGTATATTAAGGGCCTATTTGAGGTGTTCCTAAGGAGGCTCAGGTACCTGCTTGACCAAATCATCTTTCGAATTGATATCACAGAGTTTGTATATTCCAAAATGACGCTAATTTAGAGATATCATAGATCTTTAATACACCCTTAGATATTAGATTATCAGTCCAAAAAAATAAATGCAGATGGTCCGAAAAAGTTCCCCTATTGGTGAATTTCAGATAGTTTTATGACACTTTGATGATGCGAGAAAAGGCCGGCTATCTATCCTACTCGTAACAGTTTACTTTACATTTCAGCACCCCTCCATGTAAGCAAACAGGTCTAAATCCTACTCGGATAACCCGAATCACCAGTAATCTAAACCTTTGCATCGACATCTTATTTACGGGACTATAATCAACGCCAAATACTTTGCATCCATTTTGTTTGGAATATTCAAGATGTTTTAGTTTCCCATGAATTTTGTTTCTAGGAGAAAGGAGAATGCATGTATATCGCTAATAATGACACTATACTTCAATCAACTGAATGCTATGTGACAATCTAAATCCAAATAATGTCGCATAGACTGAGAACAAATCCTTTTAAGAATATGGGAATATAACATGTAAATAGTTACTCAGTATATTTTTAAGAAAAACTTTGAACATCATTCAGGCAAAGAAATCAACTTAGGTTGATAACAAAAATGATTAGATATTCCAAATAACTTTACTTTATACATTTTAGATTGAATCCTACGTGCAAGGAATTCATACAGCTTAGAATGACTTGATTTCTTCTGCAAATAAGGGAACACAATTTCAATATAAACAAACTATAATAACAATTGTAATTTGCAATCTGACTAAATAATCAAAATTACTTTCAAACCATGTTAAAATATTATATACAGTACCTTTAAGCATTGTATAAGAGTAATTACACATACATGTACATTATGACCAATTACTGTTATTCTGATGCCTTACTGTAAACTATATAGAGTATTACTATTACTCAAAGCTGAGTAATCAATTTCATCTCGATCATTAATCTTCCGGCACACCAAGGTTAAACAGGCTATTTGACGGATGTAAAAGGGTTACGTGTTTCTCGGGGTGTGAAAAGGGACAGCCTCCTCGCTCAGCGCTCCAGCGCCAAGGCGCGAGCCGTCGGACTCTGCGGTGCGGCAATTGTTGGCCTGATGGGCCCGATTAATAGACATGGGGATCCTGAGTCAAGTCTTCCTAACACCACACAAAGACTAGAATAACATACACCACAAAGATGCGGCCTGTTGTGAGGGAAGGAAATTCTTCCCAAACGCCTGGCCCAGCTGATTCAGAGTTTGGTTTCCTGTTGCAGAGATGGAGTTTGAGAGGAGAGCAAAGATGGAGACCGGCAAATATCATATCCAGATGGATTGAGAGGGAATATGGAAGATTCTAAACATTAGGTAGATAAATCAGAGGAGGGCAAGTGAGAATATAAGGCCATAGTCCATTTGACACTCCTATACAACCAACAGCGAATCTAGAAAGTTTTTTTCTGTTGAAATGTTTTTGTTGCTTTGTAATCGTAAGTGGTGATAAAACAATTATCATCTTTGTTTCCCTAGGTGGCAAGCTTCAGCAGTTTGCATAATTTGCATATCCAAATCCAATGTGCTGTTCATCTCATGCCAATGAATAGGGTATATCAAGGAATTATATTGTATGACAGGATTCATTGCACAAGATCAACAACACAGTTGGTGATTAGCTAAAGTTTTCTTGGGCTGTTGAATATGCCTATACATGTGGTTATTTGGATTTATGCAAATCATACAAAATGCTCAAAGTTGCTTTTGGGACAACAGGACTGAAATTATTCAGACACAAAGGGGAATCAATAATCCACAAAAAACTTCAATGGAAAGATCTTTTTTGGGACCATTAAAATGTCAAGTCGACTATTGGGTATATCCTGTAATTTTTAGCAGAGATGAAAGTCATAAGCACTAACAAAATGCAACATGAATATGTTAATATGGTGCAACAAAGCGTATTGTTAAGAAAACAAAACACTATTTTCCCTTACTCTAACCCTCTCTCTCTCTCTCTCTCTCTCTGTCCCTCCCTCCCTCCTCTCTCTGTCCCTCCCTCCCTCCTCTCTCTCTCTCCCCTCCCTCCCTTCCCCCCTCTCTCTCTTTTTATATCTATCTGTCAATCTCACTTTGATCATTTTCCATTAAGTCTGTTTGGCACTTTTCTTCAATTTGTAGTATTTTACCATCTACTGTAGATTTCATTGATCATACATATCTTTTAGAATTGTGTTTTTTCACCATGAGTATGTGATGTAAGATATAGACGACCACGACGACTACAACACCTCTATATGAACATCTTCATGAATGACTGGAGGAAGGTAACTACGGTAAACTGACTGGTCGGAACACAGCCAGAGATACAATAGGATCAATTGAGACGTATGATAGCACCGTTC